GACCGCGTCCCGGAAGCTGGTGTCCGGGCTTCTTCGCCGGGTCCGGAGGGAGGGCCTGGTACTCTTGTGCGTAAAAGGCTGCGCCTGAAGGTAGAAACTAATTGTGAAACAGAAACTGCTGCGAAAGGCGTCTGAAAGCAGAGTTGACAAAGCCCGAGGACCCCGCAGTGCACGCATGTATTCTTAAGGTCGGCAATTTAGAGTCGGTAACCCAATTGGAAAGGCAGCTGCTTCTCTTTGGCTTGCTGATTTTTCATTCATTCAACACTTAGGAGCACTAAGTATGGGTCAGGCGCTGCCCTAGAGTTACCCTCCACCCCCAAAGAGTACATTTATCATAAAACAGCCCATTGGGAAAACGGCATCCGGTTAATTTGGTTCTCTTTGAGGGACTTTTTATTCATATGTTAGAGATGTTGTTGAGTTACAAAGCACGGTCACGACAAAGTTCAAGCCTAGAACATAAGGTTCATTAAGTGTGGATGCTTGTTTGTGGAACTCTCCACAGAGGTTACTAGACATAGCCCTGTCTTTATATAAAGATGTTGTCCTGTCTTTATAGTGTTTGACCTCTCTCAGCGCTACACAATTATCTTTGTTTACTGTACTAATATGGCCTGATGAAGAAGCCGTAATTTCAACCCTTAGATTTTTTGAAACCTTAAAAATAATTGTGACTCACATTTAAAATATATCAATTAGTGATGGCATACGATTTAAGGAATGGATAACAGCTCCTTCGATTTCCCAAAGTACTTAGCCACAAAGCCTCAGGAGCTGTTGGCCAGAATGGTAAATGTTCCAGATTGTGGTCAGTCCTGTGGAGCAAGAGGAGTCACAGAAAGCGCTTGGTCTCTGGATGTGAGGCACTGATATTTGTACGACGTATCTATATTATCCCACTAGCCTAGAGAAAAGAAATTTCCAAAGCAGTGGTTTTCACATTGTAATATGTCTAAGAATGAGCTGGCAGTCTTATTAAAATGTCGTATTCCTAGGTACAACCCCCATAGATTCTGACTCAGTAACTTTAGGGTGGGTTCCAGGAATCTAAATATTTAACAAGCTCCCCAGGAGTTTCTGGTATAATTGAAGCATAAGCCACTTGCTGCAAAACTGCCATTTGTTTGTTTCATGAGCTGTATTGACCTTCATTGAGTCCTAAAGCCCCTGATTCTAGCTAAAGAGATTTAACAAGAGTATCTGAAGTCTTAAAGCAAAAACAGACCCCCCCCAAAAAGTTGCCCAGTCCGCCAGAGGCCCTTTTCCTATTTCTGATTCTTTTCTTCTTTGCTAAGTGATAATATTGCAGTAGCAAAGGTAGGTGCATTGTTTTAACTTAAAAATGATAACTCTATTTTTCTACCACGTACCCTCTCAAGAAAAAAGTGATAAAACAAGAGGAGACTTATGGACCGAGAAACAGAAAGCTGTTGTAAAACATAGTAGCCCAACCCCACAACTAAGGTCACTGCACAGGGACCAAGATTATGCAAACACACAGTTGCACAACTTTTGTATATGAATTTTAAACAGAAAATGTTTTGCAGCTAAAACTTTAAATACCCAAAGGGCACTTTCAGAACACTTTAAATCTTGGACATAATTATAACTCAGCAGCATAGTGATTGTTTGATGAAAGACCAACTATGTAGGTCAGCCATTTAAAAGATATTTCTGGCCGTGGCTGGTGTGGCTCAGTCGGTTGAGCACTGTACTGTGCTTCAAAATGTTGCTGATTCAATTCCAGGTCAGAACACATTTTCCCAAGTTTCAGGCCCCATCCTGGGTCTGGGTGCATTCATGCATGCTGGAGGCAGTTGATTGATGTTTCTCTCCCTCTCCTTCTTTCTCTAAAAATGCCAATAAAAACATTTAAATTTGTTTTTCTGGGGAAAAACACACAAAATATTTCTGTAAGAAGTTATGTGTTCAGAATAAACAGTAAACGGTATATTCACAGTATAGTAGACCCTCAAACTTCCTTGTTGCTTTGCAGTGCCCCTTGGGAGTCCATCTTCATACTACTAACAGCTGGCTTTTTTCATTCTCTTTATGCTGGTGTACCTGGTTTCAGGCGTGGAGGAAAGTAGGAGTTGAGCAGCTGCGACTCAGCACAGTAGACATGACTGGAATCCCCACCTTGGCTAACCTTCAGAAAGGAGTTGAGTTTGCTCTCAAGTACCAGTCACTGGGCCACAGTGTCTACGTGCATTGTAAGGCTGGGCGCTCCAGAAGTGCCACGATGGTGGCAGCGTATCTGATTCAGGTAGGAAAGGTCTTTCTGGATTGGTCCGTTGACAGCAGATTTCCAGAACTTCAGTAGCATAGTCTATAGGTGGGCCTTGCTGGAAGGAGCCGTCTCCCCAATTTCAGGCTGTTAGACGGTGGAAAGCACCTGAGCTTTGTAGATAGGCTGACCTGTGGCTTTTCCACCTGCCAGCTATGTGACCTTATGCAAAAATGGCTTCTCTCTTTGATGCTGTTTTCTTAAATGAAATGTTATGAAGCTTGAATGAGAAAGTATGTCAAGCACTGACCTCCAGCAGGCACTCAATAAATGGAGTTGCAAAGGATATTAACACCAGCTGAAGGCTAGAAACACTTGTTAAAAATAGCATGTCAGAAGTCTAATACTGTAAACAGTGCTGATCACTTACAGCTCTATAGTACTTTCTTGAAGTATTTCAGAATAGAGCTCTGGACATTAGTTTCTGGAAACAGAATCCAATGGGATTTTGCCTATCAATTTGTTATGATCAGCAGATGGGATATTTTAAAAAATATTTAGAAGCAAATACTCTTATCATTCCATTGTATGCCCCGTTTGGCTTATTTTTGTTACCTGTCTGGCTCCTGTGGAGCATTTACTAAGTCATGTGGATAGTTAAGGAAAAAGGCCATGTAGAGATAACCAGCCTGGCCTTGTTTGTTACTGTGGACTGGTGAGTACGATTTAACAATATTAAAGCTTTGGTCATTAGGACTGTTTGCTAGAAACAAGGTCTCAGGAGGATATTTTGGGCCAAGTGAGAATTGAACTGGCAGGCTAGAAATTTGTATTCTCTTGGTTCTATTGAGTTCTAAACCAATAAGTTTAGGACACAAAGATAACCCTCCCAGTAAAAATTAAGGTGCTGTTTTTCCAGCCATGGTGATAAGTTGCATAAAAACATCTACTCTTTCCAGGCAACTTGTACCCACTGGTCCAGCTCAGGGAGGATATCTAGTAGGCCTAGACAGGCTTGAATTTAGGATCTAAGCTCCACATGGTCAACCTTCTTTTGCCAGGGTTTGGCAGAGCAAGAATTAGGTAGGAAGACTGACTTGTCCCGCCAGTCTGTAATTTGGGACTGGTTAACTGAGGGTGCTAAAGTGCTCCCATAATATATGGGACATGGTTTTTAACTACCCCTCCAAAGGAGTTTTAAAAAATGAAATTCTGGGAGCCTGTTAGCACCTGTCATTAGGTCAAGGACACCTTATACCAGCTTCTTTCTATGCTGATTTCCCAACCCTGTACCCTCAGGTGTACAACTGGAGCCCAGAGGAGGCTATAAGAGCCATCACCAAGATCCGCTCACATATCTACATCAGACCTGGCCAGTTGAAAGTTCTCAAGGAATTCCACAAGGAGATTAATTCAGGGGCAGCAAAGAAGTATCACACATCACAGACATGAAGTATGTGGATTAGAAAGAACTCAAGACAACCCTGCTGGCAATAGAATGAAAATGTTTAACAGGACCAATGGGGCTTAAGCCAGACGTCATAACAGAAGTGTGTTAAGTATGGGTAATTTTGCTCTTGGTCTTGGTTTCATTTTCTTGAAATAACACTGTTGTATAGCTGGAAAGATTTAGCATGGCTTCTATTTGCAGAGTATGGGGATGTGGGTGTCTTATTTTTTTAAATAGGGTCAAAAGAAATCTATCGTGCACCTAACGCTGTACCTAATGCTATTTAGCATCATAACTCAAAAACATTTAACACTAGGAAAGAGAAGAAATACTCAGTTCTGGCTCTTTGCCACTGTCAGAATCTCAATTCACTGGCCCCTCACTTTTGGAGCAGTGATCCTGTGTGTAAAAAAGGAAATACGGGATTCAGTCAGGATTGTGACTGACTTAGAAATGTGTGCACATGTAATTAGTTTCCCTTAGGAAGTCACCCCTTCAGAATTCAAAACAGACACACATATCCCTTTAGAAACTTTGATTTTTATTTATATGAGCAGTTCCTAGCTCTTGACTGGGCTTAGAACTTTTAAAAGAGTAGAGACCTTAATATATTTGAGTTTGAAAAATGTTTCTGCTTAATAAACAATCCTTTCTACATTTTTCCTGGCTTATCCCTTACAGTAAGCCAAAAATCAAACCCAAGTATACATTTCTTGACAGACAGATGAGAAAACAATAGGACGTCCAGAATTCTAGAGTTGACTCTTGCTGGTGAAGGACACCTTCAGCTTTGTCCATTCTCCCAATCAAAGCCTGAAGGAAAACTCTTAACACCTAATTCTTTGTGAAAAAATTACCAAATAGCCACTTTGCAGGCTATGGAAGAAAGGGGAAGATTGGGCATCTTTCCTTCTGTCCTGGGATCAGGGGTGCTTTTACTTAACATTGACCAGGTAAAGAGGGGAGACTGTGCCTAAGATCTGAGAAGAGGCTTGCTCTAAGGAACCTGCGGTGAGGCACAGGTTACCAGGGGATGGCAGAGAACAGGCTGAGCTGCTCTCTGTTCAAGCAGCCAGCTGAGCAATGGTCTAGAAAGCCCCCCAAAGGGCTACCCCTATTGATTGGGGGAAGGGCTGAGTGCTGCCTTTCTTGCACTCTGAATTGGGGCCTTGGGGACTCTGAGTTGGGATGGGTAGGTGCCAGGAAAGGGAGGGCAAAGGTCAGCCCCCCCACCCCCCAGCCTCAGGCCAGCACAAACTGCAGATTAGTAAGCAGCACCTTAATGCCTCTGGTGACCGTTACAGTGGAAGTGGCAGGGTCAAGCTTGTAGGTATTGGCATCCCCCTTTTTATATCGGTCCCGAAAAACATAAATGCTCCCATTACAGCTGGCAATCTTCCAGAGGGATGGGGCTGAGCTCCAGGCCTCAGGAAGGCAAAGCCGGGTAAAACTGTCTAGCAGGGGATTGTAGCACAATAGGGAGTCCCCTTCAGCCACGATGAACACCAGATCTTTATGCACAGCTGCATGCATGCGGCCTGCAAAGGGCAGCACATACGGCTTCACATGGCATTTATCTGTCTCTGTATCAAAGCACTGGATGAGTCGGGAAGGTTTGGTGAAGAAGTCCAGGTCGTTTTCCTCCCCCCCCAGTAAGTAGATGATCCCATTGAGATTGGCTCCAGCGGCCCCTGACACAGCCACCTCTAGCTGAGTTGTCTCTGTCCAGACGTTATCACCTACCCGGTAGTAGATAACTGCATTGGAGAGGGTATCCTGCAGTGTCTTGCCACCCAGTGAATATATGGCATCTTTCCCGGGCACAGACACCAGGGTGTGCTGGAGCCGGTCCCGGGGTAAGGGTGCACACCACTCCCAGTCCACGGTGGCGTTGTTACACTTCCACATGCGCCGTGGGATGGACCCTCCTACCACGTACAAGTCTCCACCATGCTTGCAGGCTGCAGTGATCTGGTGGCACAAGCTGTTTTGGCCACTTACACTGATGGAGTCATCTTCAGCACAGTGCAAGGACACAGCCAACGAGTGGGTACGAGATGACTCTTTCCCAATCAGATAAATGTGCACATTCTCCCCAATTTCCTATTGGAAAAATTAAAATTATAAATGATATCTATCGGTTCTAGGCCAAGGCTCAGCTGAGACTCACAGCCTTAATGTCCTGGGCCACACAGTTGTATTTTGCTCACACTTACTCCCCTCTAGTTTCTATGTGTGACCCTGACTCTCCAATCACTTTCTTCCAGGCATTTTATGCCGTGGCAGGGAATCTGATGCACTCATCCTTTCAGCTTCTTAAAACTATCATGAGCTGGTGATTTAGACAAAGGGTGCTTAATACTGTCAATGCAGTGACGAAAGTAGTTCTCTCAGGGGCTCTGGAGCTCAGAGGCTGGTGGCTGCTGGCCTCCCGCACATGTCGTTCTCTCCCGGCTCCTATCCACCGCAAGCCAGAGACAACTTACCAGCCATCCCAATGGCTGCTATTGTGTCCCAGCCCTAGAGAAATCTGCCTTACCTTCAAGCTAGTCCTAAGTGACTCTGCAAAAGCTTCTCTTTCCTCTTTATTAAAATTGATCCAGGCTTCTATTGCCTCTGTTGGGTTCTGGGAACATGGAACTCCATCTGTTGAGAGCCAGAGGAAAGGCATGGTCAAAGCACTCTGACAATCTGAAAGGGAGATTTAGAGCCAGGGGCTTTAAAGAGGTGACCCACTTTGTTAGACGGCCATATGTGTATGTGGACACGTATGATCTCAAATTGCCTTATTTTTTTAATCAAAATGGATGGCCTGATATACTCCCATTTGCCACGGAGGCAATCTACTAGGCTGAGGAGCTCACACCTAAAGTATGTTTATACCTCACTTGCAGGGTCAGGATTGTTACCTAAACTTGGCCCACCACTTAAAAAGTTTTTAGGTATCTTGACTCATCCATCATAAATTTATTTAGGTAACAGGTACACGTAGAGTGCAGGATGGGTAAGAACACCTATGCATAGGGGAGATTAGAGTATAAATACAAATACCTCCTCACGACCTTCTGCTGCTTTTCCTGGAATCTTCCTCAGAAAGGGGCTCTGTCTCTGACAGCAGCTACACCAAATCTCAACTCTATTTCTTTCAGAAGGTATCTAAATTCCCACCAATAATACTGCAAACACCAGGAAGCCTGAGGGTTCCTTTCTCTTGAACTAGAATGTCCACTGAACATCATACCCAAGTAGCTGGGTAAAATATGCCCCCTTCCTCAACTTACCAGAGATGATATCAGTGAGTAGATGGTGGGGCAAGTGGAGAAATTCCTCTGTGCCCTGCAGCTGGGCCAGATGGGCTTTGGCACAGTGCTTGGCAGCAGTGTAGAGCTCAGGATCACTGTGCCGATCTGCCAGCCACATCACCTGAAGGCAGTTCCCCACCTGCACTGTGCGGGCCAAAAACCGAGAACATTCCTCAAAGAGAGATGTCAGCTGATACATGTCTGACACCTCATAAATTTCCTGCAGCTCATCAGCTCGAAGTTTCACAGTCCCATGGTAGATATAATCAACCAGGAGCTGGAAAACAGACTCACTGACATCCTGCAGCACAATTACCCGGTTGTGGGCCTCCTTCAGGTTGGAAGTGAACATGGACCGGAAGAAGCAGCTCTGAGCTGAGAGGACTAGCCGGTGGAGCTGAAACTCCCGGCCTTCTACTGAAATGGTGACATCAGCAAAGAGCTCTTCCTCCAGACACAGTTTCATGATGCCCTGAGCCACACGGCCTGAATGTGACCGATCTTTGAAAGTGTAGTTCACAAAGTAGTTCTCATCCATGGATGCTCCAGGCTCCTCCGGTGATTCCATGGTAGCCAGCTTCTCTCTCTGCCAGTTGTCTGCAAAGCAACAGCACCCTCAATAACTTGGGGAATCCACAGTCACAGTCTATGAATTTAGCGATGCAATTCAGAGGGAGAAGGAAAACCTGAGAGCAAAGTGGGCCCAGGTTGGCCTTAGTGCTGGCCCTGCCAATAACATCCCTAATGACCCCCTTCAACCACAGCTGGGTTCATTCTCCTGCAGTGGCACCCCATCCCTAATACAATCAATACAATTTCTTACTCTGGGTGTTTCCCTGAGAAAGCATGGTATATTCCTTTCCCTGATGTAACAAAAGGCCTGTTATTTTTGGTCACAGCAAGGAGATGGTGTAAGCCAATGATCTTAAAAACCTGGCAAAGAGCCTCACAAACCAAATAACTATTAGGTAAAAAACTAGTGAGGCTCTGGACAGTAGAACCAGACAAGACACTCCCAAGTCCTTGTGTCCAGGTAGACGTCCTCCCTTCCCCCGAGCGCATGGAGTTCAGATGTTCCTATGCTAGGCTTGGCTGGGACATCTGTCACCCGCACATTTGCTCTTTCCTGAGCTCCTTCCCCCCCGCTCCCCCAAATAACTCCCCAAGGCTCCGTCCCAGAACTCGAGACAGAGCCCTGTCGTCCCCAGCCTGGGGCAAAAGAAGGCCCACTGCCACGTGCAGTGTCGCCGCACCACCTGGAGTCGCCTGGGAAACAGTCGCCAGGGAAACAGTTCTCTCCGCCCCGCAGCGCCCCGGAGGCCCTCCAGCCCCGGTCAAAAGCTTAGCTTACGGAGCGGGGAAGGGGTGTGGAAATGTAGAACGCAGAACCCCCGCCCCTTCCCCTCCTCTCACCCGTCCAGTTCTTTAGGGTCCTCGCCCGCCTTCTCTCCAGCTCCTGCCACACCAAGCTAGGGCCGCGCTCACCTTACGATATCCCCACCTGCTTGCCTCGTTTTCTCACCTGCGTTCCCCCCTTTCATTCCGAAGCCCGGAACCCGGAACCCCTGCTTTGGTCCTGGCATCCGCCCGGAAGAAGATATAATGCACACTTCCGTTTCCGGTCCGTGCCCTTGAGGCTCCGTGCCCTGTAGAGCTTGCCTCCGCTGTTTGGTGTGCACCCGGGGAACATGGCGGCGACCGCCAGGGCCTGGTGGCGGGGGCTCGCGGGGGCCGTGGCGCTGCCCAGGGGTGAGCAGGGGATAGCCAGATGAGGCCCGGGGCAGGAGCAGTGGCGCGACCAGCGCTGGGAGCCCCTCGGGCCTCACCCTGCGCTCCCGCTCCTTTTATCTCCCGGTTCAGTGGTTGGGCGACCCTCGGCGCTGTTGTTGCCGGTGAGGAGAGAAAGCGCTGCTGCCGACACGCGCCGTGAGTATGTGCGAGCCCGGCTCTTGTCGGGACTACAGGCGGGGTCTCCTCATTCCGTTCGTCACGTGTGTCCTTGCTTCGGGATGCCTTTCCCTGGGTCCTGGCAAATCTGCTTGTCCTTGGAGACCTGACTGCAATGATCCTCACTCTGCAGGCAAAATCGGGCCCTCCCTGTGCCTTTAGGCCTCTCTCTTATGCCCCAGATCGCACCCTTATCCATTTCCGTGATTCTTTTTATCTCTGAATAAGCTGTCAGCTGTTTGAGAGCAGGAAACGTAACATTTGGGCCTCAGAGCCCAATATAGAGCCTGTTGTAATAGTAGCTCACATTGAGTGCTTATTGTGTGCCAGGCACCTGGAAAGTGTTTTTATGAATGATCTTATTCCTCACAACAATCTTATGAAGTAGATAGTATTACTTTTCATACTATGGATCAGGAAACAGTCCAGAGAAATGACTTGCTCAGGGTTACAACACTAGTGAGTGACAGAGCAGGCTTGCCTGCTGCCAGAGGCAGAAAACACATAGCCTTTAACCTGTAGTCTATGATGTGTGGGTACTCAGTGATTTATGTTGCATGAGCAAGTGTGTAAAGATGCGTTACAGTCAACATAAGCCAACTGGGAGTCAGGAGACCTGGCATTTCCCCCTATTTGGGCCTTAGTTTCTTCATCTGTGCATAACTAAATACATAATAATAAGGTTTCAACTAGGTAATCTGTGAGGGCTCTTAAGCCCTGAAGTTCATACCTTGAGAGCCTGCTATGAGCCAAGTGCTAAAGAGATACACAGAAGCAAACTCTGGTTCCCACCCTTAAAGAGCCAGCCTGGTAAGAGAGCCAAGACATATACTGCTTTAGCAGAAATGCAGGCATTGTGAAGGAAGAACCATGGAGTAGTTTTGAGAAGAGGTAAAATGCCAGCTTCAGTAATGAGAGTCTGCAGATTGTGTAGGTGGCATTTTATCGTTTTCATCACTTCCTATTCCCTCCCTCCTCACCTTTCTCACAGTTCTACAGGGAGCCCCTTATAAGCCAAGACTGGGTGCAGGGCTGGCTGCTGCCTTTGCCATTCCTTTGTTAAATATGCCTTCTTCTTCCAGCCACTGTCAGACCACAGAATGATGTGGCCCACAAACAGCTCTCAGCTTTTGGAGAGTATGTGGCTGAAATCCTGCCCAAGTATGTCCAACAAGTTCAGGTAATATTCACTACTGTTGTTTGGTCTGGTCAAGAAAGAACCATATTCTCAGGTCATGTGGGAGTGGGCAGCCCGGGAGCAAAGAAACCACAGATTCCTCCATCCCAACTTGGGTTTCTTTTTCTGCCTTAAATCAGGAGAATCAGCTGAAGTTCGCTGCTCCCTCAGTAGCTCTTTGTCGTCTCTCCCCTCCTGTTCCATGTCTGCAGGTGTCCTGCTTCAATGAGTTAGAGATCTGTATCCATCCTGATGGAATCATTCCAGTGCTGACTTTCCTCAGGGATCACACCAATGCACAATTCAAATCCTTGGCTGACTTGACAGCGGTGGACGTCCCGACCCGGCAGAACCGTTTTGAGGTCAGTCGGAGATGTGAAAAGGTTTGTGGCATAAAGGAAGGAAAGGGGACAGACGGAACACTTTTAGGGTGACAGCTACCAATAGGACTGTAGCCTTCTTAGTTTCAGTTTGGGTCAAACAGCTCAACAAAGCAGTTAAGCTGGGGCCTCAAAATCAGGCAGAACTCGAGTTTGAATCCTGGCTCTGCCACCTATAGGCTGTGTGAATATTTTGTTTAATCTTTCTGAGTTTTAGTTTTCTTGTGGGCAGAATAAGTATAAAATTGTCCCTACCTCATAGGGTAGTTGTGAGGATTAAACGAGATAGTGCAGGTAGATTGCTAGTACACAATGTTCTCAGTATATTTCGCTGTTGATATTTACTGGTCATATACTCTTTGCCAGATCCTGGGATAGAGAGAGAAACCACACCCAATACTGCCCTCCAGGAGTCCCCCCCTCTAGTGAGGGACAAGGACACTTAAACAGCTTATTGTAATAACGTTAACATGTGGGTTGTTAGAGATGTGCTATAGGAATGCAGGGGGCCACTTGGCCCTGTCTAGGAGGGTTCTTTGAAGGGAGAGAGAGTGCTTGTGGCCGATCTTAATGATTAGCCCAGTGAGGATGGGGTGGAGGGGTGAGGGGGTCGAGAGACATCCCAGACCAAGGGAATAGCATGAACAAAGACCAGTGTGCTGACTGCTGAGCTACATGTCAGCGTGGCTTAGGCCTTTGGAGGTAGTTGTAAGTGTAGGAGGATCTTGAGGTTTTGAGCTTCAGGATAGAAGGCAGGTTCACCTAATTTACCTTGTACTCTCATCGCTGATGTTCCCCATCATGGACTTCAGCCTCAGACCCTTCAGCCTGTGGTCATCTTGGTCCTCCATTCCCTCTGTTCTCCCTAGATCGTTTACAACCTGCTCTCCCTGCGCTTCAACTCCCGGATCCGTGTGAAGACCTATACAGATGAGCTGACACCACTTGAGTCCACTGTTTCTGTGTATAAGGCAGCCAACTGGTATGAGAGAGAGGTGAGTTACTGGGCATGGTGCACCCTGCCTCTGAGCTGGAGTTGGAGAATTGGTTGAAACTGCTGTGTGCAGCACAGCCCCTCACCCGTGTTAGCCATGATGGACTGGTTGCCTGAGGTCCTTTATTTTCTAGATCTGGGACATGTTTGGAGTCTTCTTTGCCAACCACCCTGACCTAAGAAGGATCCTGACAGATTATGGCTTTGAGGGACATCCTTTCCGGAAAGACTTCCCCCTGTCTGGCTATGTTGAGGTAGGAGCCCTGGAACTGTGGTAGCAGCCTCAGGGAGGGACTGGCAAGGAACCTGGAGGATCCTGGTCATGGCAGGAAATATGGTTTGTGGACTGTGGTGGTTTAAGAGCATTGGCTCTGGATTCAAATCCTAACTCCACTTTTGTAATCTGGGGCAAGTTACTTAAATTTCTCTATGACAATTTTCTCATCTGTGAAATGGGAATCATAATAGTACTTAACCAATAAGATTTGCAGTGTGCCAAGTGATGTATATGTAATACCTGGTATATTATAAATGCTCAGTTGATGTTAGCCATTACTGTAGTAGTCATTTTAATGACCATGGCAGCCTTGAGGATACACTGAGTCTGTCCCCAAGATCTGAAAATGGAGTATTATTTTACCCTGCCCTGGATCTCTGAAAAGGGAGGTGACAGGGAAGACTGTTCAGCCTTTGAGAATGGCAGAGGCAGAACCAGTAATGTGTGACTATAAGGGCCTTATAAAGAATTTCAGTGCTTTACTTTACCACCCATGTGCTGCAGGTTGTTTATTAGCAGGAAGATCATCTATTGTATACATACACACAGGTGATTTTGTAGCAAAGTAACTTTTTAGAAATACTGATAGCGGCAATCCAGCCCTTCTCTTTAGTGCCCAAATGCTCCTGTTTTGTTAGTCTTTTGCAAGGTCCCATTTCCTTCTCAAGCTACTTCTGGTCAGGGTTACTTCCCTCTATTCACCCCTACTGTCCGCTACTTTGGCTTGCCTCTTCACCCCAGCACCTGTTTGTTCTTACCTTATCCAGCTGGTCCTCTAATAACAGAAGCCATGCCAAATTGACTGCCAGTGACATCTTGACACTGATAATGCCAAGGCCACAGTTTAGTTGAGTGCCTGCCAGTTTAAGTGTACTCTTTTCAGCCACTGACCTGCTCCCTAATCCTGGGCAAATGCTTACCATTACCTTATAAAGTGTGTGGATGGGTGAGCAAATTCATTTCTGCTGGAAAAGGAGCTCAGAGCTCATGTTGGGATGGTGGGCTGACCAGGTGATGGCAGGGCATGAGGTAGAGGCCATTTTGGACTATGGTTGATAGGTAAAAGAGGTGTGAATGGAGACTTGAAACAGGCTGGGACAGGAATCAAGAATAGAAAAGTAAAGGGTCTGGAGAAGTCACCCATGGCCTTGGGAAAGTGGGCTGCTTACTGAAACAAGGCCTTCCTGTGTCCAAACTTGCCTTTTTCTTCTGCAGTTACGCTATGATGATGAGGTGAAGCGGGTGGTGGCCGAGCCGGTGGAGTTGGCCCAAGAGTTCCGAAAGTTTGACCTGAATAGCCCATGGGAGGCTTTCCCTGCCTATCGCCAGCCCCCTGAGAGTCTCAAGCTTGAAGCAGGAGACAAGAAACCGGAAACCAAGTAGCTCCAGGGAAGGCATATGGATCCTAGAAAGCGCCTTATCTATAATTGAGTGTCTGTGTAAATAAAATCTTACTTACGCTCACCACCTCCTATGTGCTTATCATGAAGCCTTGACTTGGGGGAGGGGAGATACAGGCAGGGGTTTTTCCCTGCTCCCTCAGAGACTACCAAACCAGGAGTCTATTTTAATGGGACTAAATAGTGCAGTTGCAAACATGGTGACCTGCAGGCCTGGATGTATTTCTGAGAGAGGCATTCTGGAGCTGAAACTGAGTTTTCACAGTACACAGGGCTTAGGATGGGTGTGTCATGGCTTCTCAACAACTGGGTCTCAACAACTGCTGGAGAAAGCCCCTTGTCTGGTGGTAGTTGATGTGTCCAGGGGCCTGGGTGGAACACCAGGGAAACTGCTACCCACCCTCATTCCATCCAAATATCCACAGGGTTCCATGAGCAAAACGGAAGAGCTGCAGTTTTTTGTTTTTTTTAAGTCCTCACCCAAGGATATTTTTTTCCAGTGCTTTTCAGAGAGAGTGGAAGGGGGAGAGAGAGAGACACTGATGTGAGAGAGACACTGACTAAGGTTGCCTCCTGCATGTGCCCGACCCAGCTGGGGATCGAGCTTGCAACTGAGGTACATGCCCTTGACTGGGAGTGGAATCCTCAACCCTTCGGTCCATGGACCAATGCTCTAACCACTGAACCAAACTGGCTAGGGCCGCAGCTCATTTTTGAGTCTTGAACCCTACATCCTGCTTCCTGCAACCTGACAACCCATCATGCTTGAGCCAAGGGAATCTTCCTGGACTCTGGCCTCAGCCAAGAATGTTGTAAACAAGCAAAGGCGGTCCCAGGGCTGAGGCAAAAGACACTCAGGAGCTGCAGATCTGTCTTCCAGGGGGATAGGACTCCCTACCCCAGCTGGTCTGGACTCCTTTCCAGTCTGGCTGAGTGCCTGAGGTGGAAGTGCTTGGCTCTCTGCCTGTCTATGGGGCTGTTCAGTCAGCCCACCATGCATTTGGAGGACTGGGCTTTGCAGCTGATGCTCTTGGCTGCTGAGGTGCTCCCTGGAGGCTGGGTTGGGGACTGGGTGTCAGGAGTTGGGCTCAGCTGCAGGATGTTTTGGGTGTGAGGATAGTAAGGTAGTGCTACTGCTTGAGCTCTTTTCTACCTTTTAGGAGGGCCAAACTCAAGCTGTTTGCTACCAAACACCTTTTTTCTATTAACTAAGCATCCGGCCCATCTGGGTAGGAACAGGCTGAGGGCATGAGAAGCAGGCAGCCAGGCTCCTACTGCCAACAACCAAGGATTCCACATTTCTACAGGATGGAAAGAGCCCCTGGGAAGCCAGAGCCAGCCCCTCCCTGTTTTGCATTGAAGACTGACACGCAAAGCAGAGAACGCCTGAGCAGCCTGCAGTGGAAAGTTGGAGCCATGGTGTGTGGCAGGCGGATGCAGGAGCAGAGAGCAGCTGGGGAGAGTAGGACTCAGAGGACCTGGTGGGGCATGGCGGGGAAAATGAAGTTCCTGGCTTGGCTAATGGTAGCTATTTGCCTCCTCCCTGGGTTGACTACAGCCCAGCACCATGAAGGTACCAGGGCTTTGGGGTGGGGTGGATGGGAGCCAAGGAATGCTACTGGCTAATAGCAGTTACAGTTGGTTCTGTCTGAGCCTAGCGGGGCCTAGGAGTTGGCATGCGTGGTACCAGGCTGACCTATGCTACACGGGTTAAACGTGTGGGCCCCATCCCCAGAACTGGAAAGGTCCAGGTGAAGTGAAGGGGGATAGCCCTAGGTGCTGGCCCTGAACAGAGTTGGGCCTGGCCTTATTCTGGATGATGCCCAAAGCAGCACCCCGTGATCTGCCCTGGGCTTGGAACAATCATTCCAAAGGCCAGGCGCACCCTGGGGTGGGATGAAGGACGCTGTAACAGACATCCTGCCTTGTCTGGCCTCCCTGCCTTGCCTACCATCAGTACTGAGGAGTAAGGAAGGAGTGGGTTCTTCCCAAAGGGGTCCTCAATCTTTGGGGAAGGTCACTAGCACTGTTTTAGGTTATACTGTCACCAGATGATGATAGGGAGAGGAAGTGAAGTGTCTTGTGACCCGTTGGCCTGGAGCTCTTGGCCAAGGGAACTGTGAAGTTCAAGGAGGAGTCCTGGACATTTCCTGAGGTGGTATCTAGGTTTGGGGTGATGGTTTTGGGATAGGACCCATGCCTGGGTGGTAAATGTCAATGTGCCATATATGTGTATGCAGAAGGAGGAATGGAGTGGCATTCCTGCTCTTTTGCAATTAGAACCTCTAGACACTTATCAAGCAGCTGAGGGGCACTTCTGGGAAGCTGGGGTGTTTAGGGTGGAGCTTGGCAGGGGCCTGACTTCTCTCTGGTGCCCCAGGGCAGCCCATGGACAGCACCGGCATGGAAGGTGGCCTGCAGGAGCCAGAGGCCCCGGAAGTGATGTTTGAGGTCTTTCATTCAGCTTGGGACATGGGGAGGTGGGAGTGTCCAGAGGTCCCTAAACTCAGGGTTGGGAAGGGGGATGTCTCAAGCTGAGCCTGCTAGGGGAGAGGGGTAACCCAGTGAGGGACCTACTGCCTGCTTATACCCCCCGGCCCACTCTTGGTCCCTGCCCTGTCCCCCAGGGTCCAGCCCACTCCTTACACAGCTCCCCTTGCAGCTGCTCTGGGCTGGGCTGGAGCTGGATGACATGAGGCAGCTGCACATCCAGGATGAGGAACTGGCGTCCACACATCCAGGCCATCGACTCAGGCTCCTCCTGCAGCACCAAGTGCCCAATGACTTGAAGGGTGCTGAGCAGCGGCTGCAGCAGTTCCAGGACCTGCGGAAGGGGCCTCCTCTTAGCCCCTGGGACTTTGAACATCTGCTCCTCACAGGCCTATCCTGTGTCTACCGGCTCCATAAGGCTAAGGAGGCTGAGGAGAGGGGTCGCTGGGCCCAGGTCTTTGCCCTCCTGGCACAGGAAACACTTTGGGACCTGTGCAAAGGCTTCTGCCCTGAGGGCCAGCCTCCTTCTTTGGGGCCCTGGGCCTCAATCCTTGACCCCTTCCCCTGACCCCCCTTTTCACCTGCCAGCCCCCCAATTCCCACCCATAAGCCAGACCCATCCTGGGCAGGGGCTTCCATATGGTACCTGGTTCTTCCCACTGTGTTCAGATCTCTGGGCTTGGGGCTTGCACCCTGGACCCACGTTTACCTCTCCCTCATCTTCTTCTCTGGGCCCTGATAGGCTAAGAGCCCAGATTCTGGGTCCCAGGCAACAGGTGCAGAGCTAAAGGCGGGACTTGCAGGCAGTGTGTGTGTGTGTGTGTGTTGGGGGTCAGGATTGAGAAGTGTGTTTTAAGGGATGCTGAAATACTTTGGGTGGTGGGCACACAATGCAAAATAGACAGGTCTTGGAACACAGAAATCCACACCTGAAACCTGTATGATACTATTAACCAATGTCACCCCAATAAATTTAATTTAAAAAAACACACACAAAACTGCTCAAAGAGAAACTGCCCCTAAGAAAGACCAGGTCAGACTCTCCAACTCCTACCCTGGCAGTCCGCGAGAGGTCCTGTGGAATCTAACGGGAGCCTTCTAAGTGCTCAGCACCCCCAGTCCTTATTAAGATACCCCTTTAAGCTCCACCACAGCTCTGGGGTACCTGAGCCTGCAAGTTCCCTACTTGGGCTGGGAGAATGGATTGGACGTTTTGTTTTGTCTGTTGGAGTGAAGGGAAGCAGGGGAGCGGGATGCTTTTTGGTCCACCCAACAAGGTTCAGATGAACACCTCAGAGGAAGGAGCGAGGTGGGGAGGGGCTGCCAGAGGCGAGCTGAGGCCGGCGCAGCCCCTGACCCTGGGTAGGTCATCCTGTAAAATGTTCCCTTCTTGCCTCCCCATCCTTGGGGCAGAGTCAGCTGTTTCACCCCGGGCCTGAGCAAGCCGCCTCCTAATCCTGGGACGGCAGGAGCTGGGGCCCCGGGTACAAAACGCTTATCGCAGCCACACGCCCTGCTGGAAGAAGGAACGTGCTGTTTCCCGAGTCCCCCAGAGGCAGCAGGGTGTTGCCCCTGGCCGCGGAAAGGGCCCAGCCACCAGCGTGCCCGGAGAATGACATCGCAGGTCGACGGGGAGGAGTCAGGCGGCGGGGCTGACTGCAAAGGGGCGGGAAGGGAGGCCCGCGGGGGCTAAGTGCGGAGCGTCCAATCGAATTCCACGGCCTCACCCGCCCAGGGCCGACCGAACGCTGCCCTCTGCCCTCCGACCCTCACCCCGAGCCTGCAGTAGTCAGAGCCTCTCCGCCCGCCCGGAGGCAAAGTTGTATAATTGTCGCGGTCAAGACAGAGAGCAGGGCGGGGAACGGGCGCCGGCGCGGGCGCACTTTATTGGCAGAGCGCAGGCGCGGGCGGGCCGCCATGCTCGCGCTGCGGAGTCC